CTGCTTCTGCTTTGACAGTGGGTGCTGCAGTCACCTGGCTCGTGAGCTTATCCCTAGAGGTGGCATTTTCAGCCCTTTAAGTGTCCTCCTGCTCTCTCCTCCTGCTTCATGCTAATGCAGGCCTGGAGTTGAAGTTTCAAATTCAGTATTGCTCTAGGTGCATGGGTTGTACAAGGAAGGATATTTTCTTTAGACCATAGTATCTTTCAGAGATTCAGCTACATTGGTGAGGAGAGCTTAGGCATCTTGTAGGTGTTTAAAGTCACTAAGGGACCATCTCAGTTCACTGATTACAGAAAGAACCAGAGGAACAAGAGTCGTAGCTTAGACCAGCCACTCAGTGGAGTTGTGCATGGCACATCTACACTATAGAGCCAGTGTTGATGGTGGATTGCTTTGCAGCAGCAAGCTGCTTTCCTGCTGTAGACAACAGTGGATGTAAAAGCAGATGTGCAGTAATGTCTTTCACATATGCACTGCTCATTTCTCATTGCATCTCTTTGCTTGCTCCAGTCTTTCCCCGTAGTCCAGAAATAACTATGTCTGCTATTTTCTCTTAGATGATTTCCCCAAGCCACAGATCATCATCCAGCCTGAGACAACAGTGGCTGTCCTTGGGAAGGACATCCGTTTCACTTGCTCGGCCGCGAGCAGTAGCAGCTCCCCCATGATGTTTGCATGGAAGAAAGACAATGAGATGCTGCACAATGCTGAGATCGAGAAATTTGCCCACGTGCGGGCAAAGGATGGCGAGGTGATGGAGTACACTACCATTCTGCACCTCCGGCACGTCACCTTCACCCACGAAGGGCGTTACCAGTGTATCATCACCAACCACTTTGGCTCTACCTACTCCAATAAGGCCCGACTTACTGTTAATGGTGACTAGGAAATTACTTTCTCGTTCCTTTCCTCTGTCTGAGTTCGAACAATTCTTTGGGACCCACTTTTGGCAGTCAGTTACTTCTGAGGGTCCATTCCTCATGGTGAGGAGCTTTTCACACCAGCTGCTTGTATCTCAGTGGATGCTGAGAAATGCCATGTGAGGAGCACACGCCGGGCTTGGGAGGGGGCGGGGAGGGGGAATCTAGGACACTGCAGACAGGTACACAGGGTTAGTCCCCAGCAGTTTCGATATATCCTGCAAAAGCAGCTTGCCATCCTCTTGGCTATGAGTAATTATCATATTAATCTCCTGCCTAGGAAGGAAAACTGTTAGAACTGCCCAGAAGATGGTATTTTCCCCAAAGAACTGCTCATCCCTTTTTCTTGTTTTTCTTTATCAGTGTTGCCCTCATTTATCAAAACTCCCCACGACATCACCATCCGGACAGGGACAACAGCACGGCTGGAGTGTGCAGCTGAAGGACACCCCGCCCCACAGATCGCCTGGCAGAAAGATGGGGGCACGGACTTCCCCGCAGCCCGAGAGCGCCGCATGCACGTCATGCCTGACGACGATGTCTTCTTCATTACGGATGTGAAGATAGAAGACATGGGTGTCTACAGCTGCACAGCACAGAACTCTGCGGGGTCTGTGCTTGCAAACGCCAACCTGACTGTACTGGGTAAGATGCATCTGTGCCCCAAGAGACCAAGCGGTCTGGATGTGGGAACTGGAAGGGATTGCTGTTGAAGCTCTTCAGCAGTTGCAGATACAGGAAAAGGACAAAGAGGCAGTGCTCTGCATTAGTCTTGTTTCATTCTTTTACACTGTAGTTAACTAGTGAAAAATACCCTGCTAATTAAGGAGCCGTAAGCACATTTCCTCTTGTGCCAAGGAAGCCCCTCCAACCACTCTTTGCCGGTTGAGAAAATTACTTCAAAAGGAAATTGCGCTCCATCTCTTTTGCCCTACGAAATAATTCACGTGCGTCAGCCATTGCCCCTGGTTCTCAAGGGTTTCTTTGGTGGGAAGACTATCACCACCCAGATATGGGAAGGCCTTGGTTGGGATTGTTAAAACTGTTGTGGTTTGCAGCCACTGTGCTCCTGGGCACATGGCCTTGTAGTATGTTGCTGTAGATTTATCTGCAGGAATATCAGTTATGTTCAATACTGTTAAAAAAAAATCTGTTGTTACACTGTCCCCAAGAATTAATTTCCGTGTTTATTCCCCTGCAGAGACACCGTCTTTGATTCATCCACTGGAAGACCATGTAGTGTCTGTAGGTGAGACTGTAGCTCTTCAGTGCAAAGCCACAGGGAGCCCACCTCCTCGCATTACCTGGCTGAAAGGTGACCAGCCCCTGATCGTGACAGAAAGGCATCACTTTACCTCTGGCAACCAGCTGCTGATCGTTAGGAACGTTGTCTTGGAGGACGCTGGGAAATATACCTGTGAAATGTCCAACACCCTGGGGACAGAGCGCGCACACAGCCATGTGAGCATCTTACAGTCTCTTGGCTGTAGAAAGGACCGTACCACTGTGGGGATCATCACCATTGCCGTGGTGTGTAGCATCGTGCTGACGTCTCTGGTCTGGGTCTGCATCATCTACCAAACCAGGAAGAAAAGCGAAGAATACAGCGTCACCAACACAGGTAAGGTTGGTGACAACACCGCTAAGGCTTTCTCTAAACTTTTCTGCTGTCAGACTTCCCCCTGAGGCTGAATCGGCACGTCAGGTAGCCACACAATCACACTGGAAAAGCCGTTGGCTTATCTCAGTGGTTCTCTTGGCTCACAAAGCTGGAACCAGCTTTCACTTGCTGTTGAAGCATGTTCAGAGCTGCATTTCTCCCCTTGGCTTGCTCTTCAGAAAGGTCTTTTCCACTTGGCAGTAGTTTCAGCCATTGCTTTGCTACTTTGATTTTCCATGACCATAAATGATAACTCTTGAGACAGTCTGGATTATGTCCGTGATGCCGGGAACCTGTCTGACTTCTTGGGAATCTATTTTCATAGACTTCGTATTCAAAACTTGAAAAATTAGACTTTGAAGCTGGAATTGCTTTTTCCATGTTGCCTGGAAGAGCTGCTGTAGACCTGCTGATGAGTGGTGTCCCTCACTTTTTAGGGGAAGAAGTAGTCTTTATTGCTTCCTACTGATATTCAAAGGGGATAATTTGGTGCTGAAATAAGTGTTGTGGTGAGAATAAACTCTCTTGTCCTCAATGTTATGCAGCCTCTGAACAGATACATGGAAGAACCACCCTAAGACTTCCCACCCTGCTGGGATTTGCAGCCTTCCTGTATTACGCTTAGCTTTAGATATAGTCTGACATAGGATTTTAAAGACACAGGCTAGGTAGGAAGTCTTGGATACCATATGACCAGTGTGATGTGTCAGTGGGATTTCCCCCCCCCCTCTTTTTTCCAGCCCTAAAAATCTAGGGCTTCACGCCTAGCATAACTGAGTTTCACTTGGTTTTGTGTGACAAGGGAAACTGCAATCTCCTGATACAGGATGGACAGAGCCAGGGGATAGCTGAGGGGCTTAGACTTACTGGCCAGCTTCAGTGAATCGGAGACCCTGGTCTCCAGAGTCTTTTACTCATGACTTTGGGAGACAGAGGACTTCAGTCAGATAAGGAACTCTGAATTTCAGGGGAAAAGGAAGGATTTAGTTGTTCTGAAGAGACAGTTCCACCTCCACCTACCTTGTACTGACCACGCTGAATGGCTTTATCAGCACTGTATCTCACAGCCTTAAGCTTTGAAAAATCAGGAGTGGGGCTTCTGAGGGGAATGGGGTATTTACGCACGTCAGTTTCTGTTGCATCCACAGAAAATACCAGTTATAGATCTGGTCCCAAAGGCCTCTTGAAAATGTGATTTTACATGCCTTTAAAAACAGAAGGCTTTATATCTTACTAGAAACTGACACTTCTCTGCTCCCATTGCTCTAGATGAGACTATTGTGCCTCCTGACGTGCCAAGCTACCTGTCTTCACAAGGGACTCTTTCTGACCGGCAGGAAGCGGTCGTCAGAGTAGATAACCAACAGCCCAACGGGCACATAGACAGCAACGGTGAGAACTGGTTTAATTGTTTTTTCTGTAGTGCTGTATCTGAATTTGATATGAGGAGGTAGAAATCACAGTACAAAGTACTTCTGTGCTTGTTAGGAGTTATCTGAAAGCTCTTCATAATGTAATTCTCTAGCTACTGCATTTATGCAGAACAAGGTATCTGTCTTTCACCTCACAAAGCTGTCCTTTCCCAGTAATAACAGTGTTCATACAAGCAGACCGCTTCAGAAACTGCTCTGTCAGGCCCTAAGGACTATCTTTTTGCTAATTTTGGATTAGTTTTTTGGCACCAGAGTTAGCCATAGTTGAGCTCTACTAGAAAATGCATTAGCATTGCCTGTCCCTGCCTTCAGGCTTAGAAAGTAAATGTTGGGATTTTACCGTATTTAAACAGAGCGTGTTAGGAAGGAAAAGTTTAGCGTTCTGAACTAAGATTCTCCTGAGATTGTAGAACGTTTATTCTGTTAAACATTAGCTTAAAAATATCTATTATCTCCATTGTGATTTTTCTCCCTTTCGCAGCTTTTACAGTAGAAATAAGACTTAACAAGTCATTTAACTGAGAGCAGATGGTTGTAATCTTAAGCCAGATGCTTCGTTTGTTACAGGTATGTGTCAGACTGATGCTGGAAGGTGTCCAGATGTTGAAGCTCCCACTGTAGGTTGTAGACAGCCAAAGCTGTGTATCGGCTATAATAAAGACACTTGGAAAACTGAAGACATGGCTGATGGAATGCTTGTTCCAGATAAGACAGGTACAAAACCCATTAATCTGGAAAGGTATTTTGTGTTTGCACAGATCAGAAAGCCCTCCGAGTCAGACAGTATTAAGACAAGAAATTGTAACCTTCAGAAGAAAAAAAAGCCCAGAATGATTCTCAGGTGTGAGCACAGTAAATTTACTTTGTCCTGCTTGCTTTGATCCTCCGACAAGCTTGGGTAGTTTGAATTCGAGGAACTGTTGGGAAGAGGCAGTCTGAAGCTCACCGTCGCCATTCTTTGCAGCTGGCTGATCGGTATTTTGATTTGAGCTGTTCCTAAAACATGAGAGGACTTTCAAACTGAAGGTGTTAAAATTTTTCATGTGCTTTAAAGGGGGTGTCAACTTCAAAGATCAGCTTTTTGTTTTTTTTTTTTTTATTTTCCAAATTTAAAGGTTGTTTTGGGCACTACACCTGCCTCTGCTCTTTGCCAATTTCTTGGGTGTTACACTCATGCTTTTCTATTTTTAGGATGTGTTTTCTGTTCTCATGCTGTATTGTAACATCCACAGAAAAACAGCCAGTGAATCAAATTTTCACTCCAGGAGAAACTGTAAAGTTTAATAATGGAAAGTTGTTGAGTGCACTAAGGAAATTAACTTTCAACATTGGGAAACTCCTTCCTGCTTCCTTCTTTGAATTCTGCTCAGCTGTTGTTATCACTAACAGTAATAACGTATCTTGAGATAACAATATGAGTTGACAGTGATCCCTCTAAAGTAGCAGCACAAAAATAAGAAAGGTAACTTGGTATTTTCAAGCAGGTACAGGAAAGTTCCACTTTCTACTTCTACCCTGACTAGAAGGTCTGGAAAAGGAAATAAAGGCACAGTTTATTTTTTAAAAAAAAAAAAAAAGTCACAACTACTTTGGAGTAAAAAAACCCCAACCACTTAAACCTGTGAATTGGAACTACCTTTAGTGATAGCTACAGAGTTCTGAAAACACAGGTATTTACTGACCCTGTATGAAAACAAGCAATGTCTGTATTATTTAGTGAGAGATTCCCACACTGCCGAGGGACAGATGATCCAAACAGAGCAGCCTTTTCCTTCCGCAAGTTGTGTGCTTCGGTGCTGACAACTTCCAGCTGGTTAATCTTCATTTGTTGCCATTTTCCCTTCCTCCCTTAAAGGCTATGGACTGCCGGTTGTGTGCACGGACTGCAGCGGCAGCACGGACAGCATGAACGTCCACATTTACCCCAAGGAGTCGGAGTATTACTCTGAAAGCCTTAAGACTATGGATAGTACCTTCCCTAACGCACTGAGCAGCAAGGAACGCAGTAGGCAGAGGGGTGCAGGCACCAGCCTTCTCCATCCTCAGCCGTGCAACGGGATTGCCAGCGGCAAGAGGATGGAAACAGACGGGACCCTCTACCCCAGCAACCACGACAGAATAAGACCTGTGAGCACGACCAGCCCGCTGCTTGCAGATAAACACAGTACGTGTTTCCTTGGGGATGTCTTTTTCTCCCCAGATGTAATACCACAACATCTGGGTTCTGTCAGAGCCCCGTTTTCTCCCATCAGCTTTTTTAACTGGCTCAAGGGCGTGAATGATAGTGGCAGGGTTGGTTTTAGGAGGCGCGCTGGCAGGCTGAGCATCAACTAACCGCGCTGGCTCTCTGGTTTTTTGCAGGCTCTTCACAAGCAGTAGCAAAGCCTTCAGAGCTTAACAACCTTAATTTGGTGAGAGCTTCACCGGCAGGAGGGTCATTAAAGCAACTGAACGTGCTTCCTGAAATGTCCCCAACACTACTGGATTTGCAGAACGAAGCAGAAGTGAAGCAAGCTCTCCTGTCCAACGGCTACGCGCCCAAACCGTGCGACTCCGTTCATGAGTTGAAGCCACCGAACAGATCACTGGACTGAGAGGACACACTGCCATGTGCAAATTAACAAACACGCTATTATTTTTTTTAATTTTTTTTTTTTTTTTTGCACAGAGTATATAGGCTACTTACTTCTACCTCAAATCTCGAACTGATGACCTGTCAAAGGCACACTGAGGTATGAGAAACAAGCTTGTATGGGGAACAAAATCCTGTTCGAGCGTCATCTGTTTGTATATAGTTTAAAACTTCCCTGAGAAGTATGAAGCGTTCAAAAGTTGTCTTGCATATGAAGCACATAAATGCAAGGGATTATTGTGTAAAGAGAAAAGTATTTGATACAATTGTACATAAGAGTTTTCATATATAAATATATATATATACAAATATATATATCTTTTACAGAGGCTATTTTAATCTTTAGTGCATGGAAAACTGAGTGAAATTTTACAATTTTGGCAATATTGTTTTCAGTATCAGGTTGCTGTTAAACTTTGTGAGCAAAATAATTCTGGTGCCTTAAATGCATAAGCAGAACTTTAAAAAGCCAGACTGTTCCAAAGGGATTGTCCTCTTTTCAATGGAAGTTCCTTTAAATCGAGTATCAATTGGGTTACTTAGCACAAATTTCCTTCTTCCCCTTTGAAATTTATTGCACTTAGCACACTGAAATAGAGATCTTCAACTGTTTCAAATGAAGTTAATAGGAAAAAAAAAAAAACAACCCACGCAGTGAGAAATTACATAGCAACCTGATTTTTTCCTGTTGGTGGAAGAACTTAAATTCCATTACTTTTCAGAACTGCATAAAAATTAGGATTTGAACTGTGACTGTGTGATGTTAGAGTGGACCACACAAGAAGCACTAAATAATTCAGCAACAGTGCAGAGCCCTGAAACAACCAGCCAAAAAGGCTGTGGTGATTAGTGAGCAGTCATTACCAAAATAAGTAATTTGTGCAGTGAACCATGGGGTGGTTTCATACATTGCACCACTCCACAAACAACGTGGCAGAAGGTGTTATCTGCCCGTGTACGCTGTGACAGCACTGCTCACCTACACACCTTATTGCAGACATTTCCCCCCCAAACAGATGCAGCTTTACCTGTATAAGGTGCATGTAACGATACACAGCCCAGCCAGAATAAATGCATTTTCACATGCCCAAAAAATCACAGAATCACTAAGGTTGGAAGGGACCTTTAAGATCATCAAGTCCAACCATCAGCCTACCCTGACAAAACCACCACTAAACCATGTCCCTACGCACCACATCTACCCTTTTTTTTAAACACCTCCAGGGATGGCGAATCCACCCCCTCCCTGGGCAGCCTATTCCAATGTTTCATAACCCTTTCAGTAAAAAAATGTTTCCTAATATCCAATCT